ATCGGACTTTGTGTAACGGGAGCGAAACAGATCGAACTTTGTGTAACGGGAGCGCAATACATCGGACTTTGTCGTTAGGAGGCATCGAATTTTTTTAACAGTGAATTAACTTTTTGTTCATCCTGAAGATGCAAATTCCTCACTTGCTAGATTCCAAACTGCATTCGGTTGAGATGTGTGAAGAAACGCGTCTTTCTAGGGACGATAAAAGACCTTTGAGATTTAGTGTGCAAAGTTGGCTCTATGGACAGGGGAAGGCGCAATCTATCTTTTTTCCAGATTTTCCCGACCAGTGGTTCACAAGTCATACTAGATTTTTTTATGTACTGGTCATTGGATCCCCAAAAATTGTCTTTTGGTGACCGTCTAGGAATACTTTATGTGAAGTCCTGACCATTTCTAGACAGTCGCCAGATGACAAAACTTTGGGACCGTCAATTGCAACAGTAACAGTCGAAAATTTTACAAAGTAAAGGAAGGGCCTACGTGGTCGATTTTGGCCTTTTTGGGGCTTTGCGATGAACTCCACACCAACAGTTTTGTTCCGATCGGGCCAAACGAAGTTGATGCACCATCAGAAGGATGTCCTTTATCATAAAACAACAACAACAACAACGACGACGACGACGACGACATCGGAGGTGGTATAAGAGTGGGCGGTTAGCAGCTTTCTGAGCCTTCTCCTACTCTCCAAACGCTTAAACTCCCCGTACAAAACAGATTGTCTTCTGGACGTAGTTTCCAAGGATTAATGGGATATACTTCCAGCATCCATAGCGCGTCCGCTTTCGAGTCTTGTGTGAGACGTATTGAAGTCATTATTAATCCATCGTCAAGACCTGTGTGAGACATAGCTGATAAGACTGATTGTGTCGCGACAATGGATTCTCGAAGGCTGCTTTGTCTCGCTTTTCAGACTTCCCTCAGACACAACTGTCATCCAATCTGGAGACATCGCTGGGCAAGGCACTCAAGACACGCTGAAGATATATTTGAGACACACTCAATCGCACAGACGAAGGAAGTGAGAGAAAACGGGCCACCGGTAGGAGGCGAACCACTGCCTATTGGACTGCAAGTCCCGCTCGCTCTTCACTGGGCCAGAGTGGAAAAACTCAGGTAATTGTGTCGCTACACGTACTGGCCCCGCACTGAATAAGGCTGCTCAGATATGATGGAGACACACCTTTCAGACATGCTTGATCCATCACACACTTAGGGCAGTGGCAGAGTGCGCGGCACCTGATGGATCCCTTTTTTCGTCGGTCCGATTGAGTGTGTCTCAAAAATATCTTCAGCGCGTCCTGAATGCCTTGACCCGCGATGTCTCAAGAGTGGATCACAGTTGTCGGCACCTCCTATCAATATGCGCTTATTTGTTTTTGGTCCAAACAAACCCGCCCATTACTAAGGGCTCTGAACAGAACCGCCCATCTGCGCGGGTCCTACGCAGAACTGCTCATCTTTCTGAATTACGGGCGGGTTGTTCCCAGATTTCAATGGATGTTCCTAGGTGCTGAGCTTAAATTTAGAAACAGAAAATGTAACATACTCTCTTGTCTGTACTGGAACATCATATTTAAACTACTACAGATCGTTAAAGCCTCCGATCTTGGGTGATATTATAGTAAATACGAGGGGCAACATAACCTAACCAGCGCCCCGGCCGCGAGCAGATGAGCGGTTCTGTGCAGGGCCCGCGCAGGTAAGCGGTTCTGTGTAGAACCCGAGGTGATAAGCGATTACGTTTAACCTAAAGAATTATAAGCGCATATTGATAGGAGGTACCGTTGTGTCTGAGGGAAGTCTGAAAAGCGAGGCAAAGCAGCCTTCGCGAATCCATTGTTGCGACTCAATTCGTCGTATCAGCTATGTCTCACACAGGTCTTGACGATGGATTAATAATGACTTCAATACGTCTCACACAAGACTCGAAAGCAGATGCGCTCACTGTTATTCAACGATGATGACGTCACATTCGTTTCAATGTGAATCTTGTCACGTTCGTTTGAATGTTATGTCATATTCGTTTAAAAGTGAATTGACCAAGCCTGGCGCCATTAGAGCATCAATTCACCTGAAGTCACGTTTAAATGAATGTGACACAATATTCAAACGAATGTGACACGTTTCACATTGAAACGAATGTGACACGTTTCACATTGAAACGAATGTGACGTCACATTCCTTGAATAACAGTGATGGATGCTGGAAGTATCACATTAATCCTTGGAAACTACGTCCAGAAGACAATCTTTTTTGTACGGGTAGCCGCAGACAAGAGATCTATGGACAAAACCGCATCCTTTTATAGACAAATTATGTCATTAGAAGGGACAAAATGTTCCTTAGAAAAACTGTTCCTTCCTTGAAAACAAATTATATCGCAAAAAAAGGGACAAATTTCAACTTACTCGCTGGGACTAATGTCTTGTCCAAGAAACAGGAAACCAGTTTGTCCATGAGGAGAAAACTAAATTGAAAACTGTCCTCTTTAACGAAACAATTTTGTCTGTCGTAGGAGGATGCGTGTAAGTTCGTGCCATCGTTATGGGAAAATTTGTTCTTTTACATTTAGAGTGTGACGGTCGGCGGCTGGCGATGTTCACAACTGATTTCGGCAGCTAGTCATGGTGCCTGTGAGCTTGGGAACAAACGCCGCTGGCGCCGGTAGGGCAAGGAGGCCCGGCCCCTACCAAACGGAGTTGCACACTTACCACATTTATCGGGAGGAGTCGAATAGATCCTGCTTGACCACCTTGTCCCCCGACGCCACCTGCTCCCCCGTCATGACCAGAGCCACCGGATCCACCGCAAGTAAATCCCTGTAAAGAAACAGTAATCAGTATCTCTTTCTATGCCTTTTGAACGATTTGTTTTTGACCCCTAAAACCCGGTCTCCCTCAGAAGGGGTATAGTGAAAAATTCGATACCTCAGAGCGAAAACCACTCAGTCTGTCGAAGCGCTTCGACAACCGCTCAGTCTGCCGAGACACTTCGACAACCGCTCATTATAATAGGCATTTCTGCAGACGTTGAGCAGTTGTCGCCGGGGCTCGGCCGGCAGACTGAGCGGTTGTCGACGAAGCCTCTCGGAAGACTGAGCGGTTGTCGAAGCGCTTCGACAGACTGAGTGGTTGTCGCTCTGAGGTTAACGCATTACAGAAACACGAAAAAAACAATTGAAAAATAGGTATGTGGGTAATTTCACAAATAAGATGCGATGCATGTCGGTGTCCGAGAAGACACTCTCAGCCCGTTACTGACATTTTGCAAATAGACCATTTCAGTCTTGCGATTTACTGAAGTGCATCATCAAATAAATAATGTGACCGGTAAATCAGTTTGCATATTTGAGTAAACGAAAGCGTCCGGCGGGGGGCAGCCCTAGAAATTTGCTCCTTGGACATGACAAAAGACTGTAACGGGGCAACACCGTGACTACACCCCACCCTTCTGCTTTG